GGGGAAGGTTTCGAATCAAACTCCATAGTTCTAAATCGTAATCAGTAAGAACTCAGAATACATTCATATCTAGATCAGCCCCATTGTGCCGAGACAGATAAACCCATTACCTCGTCTCGGCGACGTGTCTATATTGCAACATGTTGAAATCAACAAAACTATGATTTGACCTACGAAAGACCTTTGTTACCCAGGCGTGCAAGCCACATGACTACTGTATCGTGTAACAGTACTTGGCAGTTGGAGGCATATTTTCCATGAATCGGACACAAACACATATGTATGAATATATCCATCCACTGCGGGAGCCAGGTCAGTGCTCATTGTCTGGTGGTATATGTATTGACAAACTCGCTGAAGCAATGGGATTCGCAGCATGACCGTTATACAATGAAAAGGGCCAGGTTTCATACTTGGAAATCACATTGATTCACGCATGAGAAACGGGCTCAATTGTCCGTTAGACATGTCTTTGAATGGCATTTAGAAGTGATACACATAAGGAAGAGAGTTTGTATGGATGTCAACTTCTTTATTATGAGGAAGCAACGTTTCGGAGTATATGCTTGCTTATTCAGGTGAATCGTGATGAATAAGCAAGCATATACCCCACCGCCCAGATCGTGATGAAGAAGGAAGCATATACTCCGAAAAGTTGCGTTCCTCACAATAGAGAAGTTGACATCCATACAACTCTCTTCCTCCGTTAGACATGTTAGCTTCTTATTTTGTTACAAAGCAGATGGGCGAGTATGCTTGTCGAGAGAAGCGACTAAATTGATCGGGTGGTGAGGCTTGCTGACGTGGTTGACACATGTCTCCGGACAACGTAGACTGATGTTTACGCTGTCAATCACTGGATTGTCTGGTTAAGACATGATTATTTACAGGCCGCCGTCATATAGCTATGTGCAGCGTAAATCAGTCAGCAAACAGACAACCAGGTACAATGTTATTGTGTGGGTTTGGGGCGGTTGCGTAGCCTCGAGGTTAAATCGCCCTGATATAAACCCCGGTACAACGTAAAGTCCGAACTTTTAAATGTTTGGGAATATTTATAACAGCGATGTAACGCCAGCCTCTCCCCCATTCTGCATTTCAGGTGAGCAAGTTAGGCATAAAGCTGCTTGGAGCAATATTCCAGTTAGATGACGCATACCACTTGAAACTCACGAGCATGGTGGTTGGGTAGCCAAGTGGTCAGGGTATTGTTTGGTTCTGTCGCACGCCTGGGTTCGACACTAAATATTCAATTGTCCCGCGGCCTATTGATATGACCGATCTATTGCAACAGGCAAGCTCACCCCTTCACTCCCACATACAACCACCCAGCACACATTCCCTCACTCACCCACGTCACTCAACTCAAAAATGGGGTTGGTGTTGGGGTCCTGGGTGACCCACCTTTGAGTGAGTGAGTGAGTTTAGTTTTACGCCGCACTCAGCAATATCCCAGCTATATGGCGGCGGTCTGTAAATAATCGAGTCTGGACCAGACAATCCAGTGATCAACAGCATGAGCATCGATCTGCGCAATTGGGAACCGATGACATGTGTCAACCAAGTCAGCGAAACTGACCACCCGATCCCGTTAGTCGCCTCTTACGACAGCATAGTCGCCATTTATGGCAAGCACACATGGGTTGCTGAAGACCTATTCTACCCCGGATCTTCACGGGTCGACCCACCTTTGAAAACTAAAACCAGGTAGGGTTGCAAACAAAGGTTTTCAAAGCATGAGATCTCAAAGCAGTTTTCCTGGGTACATTATGAAAAGGATTATTTTGCCACAACACTGTCAAATGATATTATACCGTGATTTCATACCAATCTGTATGATATACCAATCAGTATATTTCATTACTTCATTTTCAGGGACATAGCACATAAGCTTCTTTAGCCCTGTATGTTATCGCCCTCTCATTGATTTGGACGTCAATCAACGTTCTACCACCTGTAGGTGTTCTCAATGCTACGTTACGTCATATCGTTGATCTGGGTCCTTGTACAATCGCCTTAACGGTAATACATTTTCCACAACGTACTCAAATGCTCAGTCAGCATCAAAAGCCCGGTATTACTTTCTCGCATGCATTATTATACATATATATGTAACGAGATCTGGCAAGTATGGGAGTGAGATTTTGGCTTACGTTGTTCCTTTTCAATTATATTCCAACAGTATTAACATACATGGAATGTGATTCACAGGTCTCACCCATGTTTGGAATCGAACCAAGTCATCGACGTGACGAGTCACTTCTTATCCATTTCCACCACCCTAATTCAATGTCTTCCTGAAAAATGATGAAATGAATAATGTAGGCATAAAAAGTGTGTTGTTTTTTTAAAACGGAAAACAAACATTGAAAGATATATGAAAAATATATGTTTGTTTTCAGGTACAATTATAACAATTAAACCATAAACATTCCAGGATCAATTCATTAAGAATTTTGTTAAGAATACTATGTGCATTGAACAATGAACTGTCCAGTTATTGTAAAACATGTACCGGCGAAAAGAAATAATGTTCTAAAAAAAGAATTAAAGAAACTACCTGGCAAAAGAAACTATTCATCTAAAACCTGGATTTGAACAAAACATTATAAACGTTACCAACACATTACTAAGTTTGAGGAGAGCGGAAGGTCGCGGGTTCGATCCCCGATCGCGTCATACCAAAAGACGTTAAAATATGGTACTTGTTGGTCCCTGCCTGGCTCTCGGCATTAATGGGTACAACGAGGACTGGTCGGCTCCGAGTCAGTATAATGTGTCTGAGTGGGGTATTCATGCTTCACTGCGGCATGGTATCTCAGTGGGCTAGAACTATAAAACCAGCTTCAGTCTGGGCTAGTACAAGCAGCCGCACATACACATACACACGCATGCACGTCGTCATATGAGCGAAACATTCTCCAGCGCGTCGTTAAATCCAATTTCACCTCACCTCACCTCACCTCACCTAACTAAGTTTGAAAAGGTCGACGAAACACTGCTCAAAACTATGATAACCGTAAGAAATATATCACCACCGAATAGGTAGATCGATGCTCATGCTGTTGATCATTGGATTCTCTGGTCCAGACTCGATTATTTATATCGCTGGAATATTCCTGAGTGCGGCGTTAAACAACAAACAAACAAACCAAACCAAACCATCGAATCAGCATTTCTTGATTGTTTCAGTTTTAACAAATGTCCAACATTGACTTACACTGCATGATGGTAGCGTCAATATTGATTGCGATAGTGACAACATACTTCCACAATCCCCATTCAAATACAAACACGGTAACTTTATCGACCATCTTAACTTATTTTTAAACCAAAAGGAAAAAAAAGGATAGAAATCAATACAAACACGGTAACTTATCGTCCATCATAACATTTTTTGTTAACCAAAAAAAAAGGATATAAAATATTATTCAAGTGCCATATACAGTTCAGAGGGATACTTGCCCATGAAAGGTAAGTGAATATCGAGTTGCTTTGTAAATATCGAGTTAAAAGGGTAATTTTATCGAGATATCCGAAATATCGAGACATCCGTATCGAGTTGAAAGAGCTTGAATAATGATAAATTATGAAGGATTCTGCCGGGACCGAGATGTTATATCGAGACAACCGAGATATCGAGTTATCAGAGTTCGACACAACGGTGCTCGACTGTACATTGTTTGGTTGTCAGCTGGATCCAACCAGGACTCCACGCGTAACCAATACTATTGTTACAATGCTACTGTGACAATTAGTGATTTAAACCTCCAAGGTGGCCACGAGACCGACCGAGGCAGCCAGCCAGGTAAACTAACCACAGCTGGATCGTTAGCAACCCTATCCCTTCCACAGTACAAATCTACAACACACTGTTGATACCCAATAGAATCAGACGCCCCACTGCGTATCAGATCTTCTTACGTACCACAATGAACATGCAGGGACACTGATTAAGGGTATTACTGTATCGCTAAGCTGTCTGTTTTCTGCTTGACTGTACAATGTGAAATATATCGTCGAGGTGGTTCTGGAGCCATTAGTTGTGAGTCATCCTACACTTGACTTGCAAGTATCGATCTGTAGGACACGAGTCAGAATTGACGATATTGCTAGGTGTCACTGAACAGACACTATGGTTCCAGCAGTTGACTCATCTGAATTGTAGTGCATGGACAAAAATACACCCGTTCTTTGGGCTTGTCAGAGGAGCATATCACAAGTTGGTTGTCAATGCTTGTCTTCTGTGAACAGTTCCGAAACAGCGGACGATTACCGGGTATCTGCCAAAGAGTTACGGACGGTTCCTGATATTATACGGCCGGTGTCTTGTAACAGAGGCACCCGGAAATATTGGTAATTCGTTGTAAACTAAAGTCCCCTCAACGATCTAAGGGACTGGATGTTATCCGGAGAAGAGGTACTGTCACATGTTTTCGTGATATTGTACGAGTGTTTATCATTTTGTGCTTATCACGTATTGAACTAATACTAAATATTGATATTATCGATTTCCACCTTGGTGCTCGTGGCATCTGATTGAAGACCTTGAAATTCCATAACACCGTGGAATCACCACAGCATTACCTGCTTACAGAGAATCTGCAAAAATTATCACTGGCCAAATACCCGTCAAACAAGCCCTGGGTCAACGGTGTTAGGTTCTACAACCCTCCCCGGGGATTCCGATTGTATCAAGGCTACTTAAGTATTTTCTCGCTCCATCGACTCTCCTGACATGACAGATATGTACATGTGACACGGATGCCAGTTTCTTTGACTTCGCCACAGGAGAACGTTGCCCGGTTGCTATGAGTGCTGCGCCTTCAACATTTATCTCCTTCTTCTATACGCTTATGTTATGACAATCTTATCACATTGAGTATAACCCCACGCAGTCGATATTGGACATATATTAATGTACCGAGCGACAGGTAAATTTGACCTTGTGCCTGGATTATAGACTTAATATCATTTCTCGTTGTGGAGTCTCCCAGCAAACGGGTTTCTTCGATATCTTGGTTTGTGTGGATCGTTAACATACGTATTAAGACAGCCAGTGTGGGTATCGTGTCACAGTTGAACATTCGGAGATTAATGGGCATGTTGTCTTCTCAAGCCGAGGATTTAAGTTACTGAGATTACACATAAGATATTACTGACATCCATTACGTGTTACCCTGATCTGTGCACGATGGAGGTGGAGGGTCAAAGGACGGTACCAAATGAAAGTTCTAAATCAGAAGACGCTCGGCCGATTCCAACCGAGGCAGAGCTGTCTGGTCAGAAGACAAAGAATATCAAGATGAAGCAGTACCTGTGTGTGAAGCACGCGTTACCCAACACGAGGCTGACGCACACCATCCTCCACGAGAACGTGAGTCAGGACCGCCATCTTGAGATGAAGCTGTCAAATATCCGGCACACTAGAAACAAATCGTCAAACATTCATGATCTGACCAGACGAGCATTTGAAGCTCAGCAGTCACGAAAGATGAAGAAGTGGAAGAAAGAGGATGAGAACCGAATCGCGGGGATGAACCTTCCCCAGATCAACCATCTCGACGTGGAGTCAGCGCCCCTCACCGTCGTCATCTATCGTATGCCCGAACACGCCGAGCGTACGTGGAGCGGCGGCAGACGACAGCAACAGCTTCCAATGATGAAGGTGAGAAGGGAGAGGACGGAGATTGTCACATACCAGGAAAAAGCCTTTCTCACAAAACTACCGCCCGTTGTCGAAATTGATCAGAGAAAACTGGAAAAACACAATACATATTGTGGAAAGGTCCTCTTGGGTAAAGGTATGCCGGGCCAAGATCAACGCTTCCAAGAACTCGCATCCATGCTAAGCCCGGCCATGTTGAACGATAGAGACAAATACCCGGTCCAAAACATGGTGATGAAGAGCAGAAGAGCGAAGTATGCTAATATTTTCCCGCTGAACTCTGACCCTGGGTTTCGTAGATCCCCGGATGTGAAAGTCATCGTGGCTGCAAGACCAAGGTCTGTGGTCAGTAGCAAGCTGTCGGACAAATCTTTCGGAAAAGGACCAAGAATGTTCTCATGCACCACGACGAAAAGGAAGAAGAAGAGCGCAAAAGCGAAAAGTGTCAGGATAGGCGAAACTCAAACATTCACAGGCTCGAGTGGTCTTTCAACGTATTCAGGGGAGACAACTCTCGGTGACCATGTTGAGGAGGACAACTCTGGCGAACCTGCTGTCTAGTCCTAGAAAAGGCATTATGTTGTCGCCCTTTAACCAGGTAAATATTGTGATATACGAAAACACTGTGAAGTTGGTTTGAAGATACTGTTTCCAAGAGGTGGAGTGTTAACTGACTGAGAAACTTAAATCGAAAATGTGAGTTTTCATCAGATCTCGTCTATTCATGTAATTCTTTGATATTGTTATAAACCGTAGAAATGATACGTTTTTATGTATTTAATTTTTTATGGTTTTATTTGTGACTACGAACTACGTACATCATTTGAACTGATGAAAGAGAGAGTAGTGGTGTATTCTAATCACCTGTTAAAAGGTAACTGCAATTGTACCTACTGTGCACCCTTACAATACCAGACAATGATATTTCTCTAGTCATTATAACCTGATGTAACCACAAAGCAAGGATTTTAATCAGTTATTATCTCTGTGTTGAAACCTAATATCAAACAAAATCTTCAACTCTTCAACACAAAGTAGAAGTTATAAAACTTTGTACTACAGTATACTATATACGGTTATTACGAACAGGTTTATAACAAACTGAGGATATAACCAGCTATAACGGCCACTAGCTGTATATTTTGAAATGTGCATAACTAACTACGGATATAACGAACTGAAATTAGTGGGCTTTTTTAGTTCGTCATAACCGTAGTTTGCTGTATTTATTTCTTGAAATTCATTATCAAAAACTAGTTTACTATATAACATATGTTATATTTGGGATTACACTTTCTTAGTAACCTGCACCCCGAGAGTCAGGCACCTAATCGCCAGCACACAAAGTCAGATGCCCAGACCCAGTGGAAGCCGCGGTGGCTGAGCGGTCTGGGCGTCTGACTATGTGTGCTGGCGATTAGGTGCCTGACTCTCACGGTGTGGGTTCGAATCCCGGATGGGACTCAACCCAACAAAAGTACTAGAATTTGTACTTTACTAATAAAGTGTAATCCCAAATATAACATATGTTACATTTGACCACTTTCTAAATGGCATTGTGTATTTCATAGTTTACTATACTTGGAATTGAAAAAGAAATTCAATACTTCTCCCCCATATAATCGTACCTCACATGTAAAATACTTAAGTATATTGTTCAATGACGTTTTCAATGACGTTTAATAAATTCATGTGTGCAGCACATCATCTCCACCATCTTCAACTGATGATGCTCCTTACTGCGAAACTGTGTCCGTAATGTATATTACGCCAGTTATATATGAATTAAATTGCTTGACGAGCGAACACAATAACCACTTGCCTCCATGTCGCTCCTATAAGTACGTACTGATGATGAAATGTTTTATGACATGTTGTAACGAAATGTTGTTAGATGCTTCTTTAATCAGTCGCGTGAAATAAACAGAGGAACGTAATTTGTTTCACAACCGAATCATATCTTGTTGTTTTACTTCATGAACCTAACGCACCGTTTTCATGGTGTACGGAATGGAACGTTTGCCCAGGCAGGAGGAAAGTCTCTGGTTCGAATCCCTGTTCGCGTCATGCCGAAAGACGTTAAAAAATGGTACTTTTTGTTACTCTGCCTGGCGCTTGGCGTTAATGGAATAGAACTACGACTGTCTACTGGGAGTTAGACTAACGCTTAGTCCCTGAATACATATAATTTTGATAGTAACATATAAACCCATTTCCCACCGTGATGTTGCTGGAATATTGCTAAAAGCGGCGTAAAACCAAACTCAGTCAGTATTAACCCAATTACATAGAAAAGGAGCCCCAGTGAGTTGGGAGATTCAGGCTTGGGGAAATCTAGACTTGCTTCATTTAGGGCTTTAGCATCGCAGGGAGGGCTTGGTAGTACGGAAAATAATATGGTTCAGGGACTGTGAGACAGACTAACTGCTAGGCAGTGAAATGTTTCAGAGCGGATTATCAATGTTAAACTGCGGCAGAGTATCTTAATGGGTTCTTACTGTAAAACCGGAGTCAATCCCAACTAGTACAAGCACAGACACATCCAAACTTGAAAGGTGTTGCTATATTTATGAGATAATCCTGAAAGTGACGATAAACACCATCACGCTTCGCTTCACAGAACTAACCACATGAAACGCGATGTGAATCTGTACCATCGTTTTCCTGTTCGCTGATCTCACCACAAGCGTTAGGTCTTTCAGGCATGAGAGTAAAATACCTAATGACGTGAGTTCCACTGATGCTGAAAACTTGAAGAACGCAGCACTAAAATGAAAACGGTTTTATGGTCCTTTCCAACCCATAACATCGTCCCGTGATGTGTTACAGCGAACACTATGGAGTAACCAATGTGGTATAACTGAATGGAAATAGTGTCTCTAATGGGAACAGGTATGCATAAATATAGCATCCAAGGAAGCTTGAGGTGCCAGGGGTGATGGTATCAACCACATACAACACTTCTACGGCAAATTCCGGGCTAGCTCTCCTTCCTACGGTAGCCTTTAAGGGACATAAAAACGTGTCTGATATGTAAGTACGTTCGCATATCACACGTTTTTACTCGAAGTAATACACATATTTCAGAAAAGGAAACTGAGTGAGTAAGTGAGTTTAGTTTTACGCCGCACTCAGCAATATTCCAGCTATATGGCGGCCGTCTGTAAATAATCGAGTCTGGACCAGACAATCCAGTGATCAACAGCATGAGCATCGATCTGCGCAATTGGGAACCGATGGGAACCAAGTCAGCAAGCCTGACCACCCGATCCCGTTAGTCAAAATGGAAACTGAAAAGGGTAACTTATTACTTCGTTAAAATCGCAAGAATACTGTTAATTTAAACACAACTTACATTTTAACATCAAATGTTGGAATTACGAATTACAAAATGAAAACTAAAAATTTATACTTATTATCATTTTAAGCTTTGGTTTTCAAGATATTTTATTAATATGCAGAGTGAGTTCAGCAAGTCATGCCTGCAAGGTGATCCGACTGACGTCGACGCGATCTGCTCGATGCTCGATGACTTAGCTGATGGATATCTTTGTATCCCAATTGTATCATGATGTCGGTCACTGGATTGTCTGGTCCATGATTATTTCGATTATTTCGATATGGGTGGTCGTACCTTTAACAATCGTGAGTGATAAAGCTTCCTGTACCGAAACGTCTCTTCGTGAAAGAATAATGACGATGAGCCCATAAGTCAATCCTGCATCCACGCGTCTTCATTTAAACGAAAAGAAGTTTTGATTTATTATACAATCCCGGAGTAATTCTGGACTCTTGGTGCTATTACGTTTGATTAATACTCAACAGCTGCGTGGGAATTGTAGGTTAATGGCTTAATTAACCCACTGACTGAATTGTATGTTTTGAATTAACTTGTTAACCACTGTCTATTTTCGAATATTACACATGCAATGTTGTCATGTCTGTTATTCGTTAAGATTGGTTGGGAGGCTGGTTGTTTAACGCCGCACTATGCAATATTCCAGCTATATGGCGGCGGTCTGTAAACAATCGAGTCTGGACCAGACAATCCCATGATCAACAGCATGAGCATCGTTCTACGCAACTGGGATACGTTGACACATGTCAACCAAATCAGCGAGCCTGACCATCCGATCCAGTTAGTCGCCCCTTTTACGACAAGCGGGACGGTGGGCGTAGCCTAGTGGTTAAAACGTCCGCTCGTCACGCCGAAGACCCGGGTTTGATTCCCCACATGGGTACAATGTGTGAAGCCCATTTCTGGTGTCCCCTACCGTGATATTGCTGGAATATTGCTAAAAGCGGCGTAAAACATTACTCACTAACTTATACACTCTTACGACAAGCACGTGTTGCTGAATACCAATTATAACCCGGATCTTCACGGGTTATTCGTTAAGAGGGAGTGTTTCGTTGTGGGCAACACCATCGGGAAGCTCGTCGACCACGTTTCTCCTTCATCCACAGACGTACGTTATAGCTGTGACAGCGTCTGATGAAGGAGACCGGGGTTTGATTCCTCCCCATCCCACCAAAACCTGTCCCTTCACACAGCTCTTAAACCCATAACCCATGGGGTTTGCGGATCAAGTGGTTTGGCTCTGGGATTGTGTGTTGTCGTACAACGATGGTGGGGTCCTTGCTCATAATATCAGTCACTGGTTTTCTTCGGCGATATATAGAGAATCTCACCCGAGTGTCTTTTGATATCAAATATATCACCACGAGTTGATAAAGTTACAAATATCCGAGGCTTGTAGAGGATATTTTTACTTTTTATCAACGAGTGTTGATCTATTTGATATCAGAAGACACGAGGGTGAGATTATATTTATCATCAAAAATAATACTTCATTAGTTTTCAATGAAAAATGTACATCTCTCAACACTGTACTACCATTAGACTTGCAGTGCAGCGATGTCATAGCATTGTGACGTCATCAAGTTCATGACGTCATAGCATGGTCCCGGCATTGTACAAAATCTACTGTCAAAACGATATCTCCGGAGATATCGTTTGATCTCTCACAAGCGACATCTCCTGTGAAACACAGTTTTGGATGATAAATTGGGAATGTCACTGATTGCAGCCTCAACCAGAAATATGCAAACAAGGGTCCATTCCCCTTTTGGCATCAACGTGCAACCCATTCTTGGTACATCCTGATGTGAAATGGCTGCTAGAGTATTTAAAAATTATACTCATACGCACTCACTCATAAGATGTAAGGCACGCAGTTAGATACAGAGACAAAAACGAATGAGAAAAAGAAAGTTAATTAAAGAGTAGTAAAGAGAACACGTAATTCTCTCTGGTAAACTGTAAACGTCAAAGGCAGAAAATAACTACACGAGAACATCTACCGACACAGATTACACTCGTTCTGTTTTGTAAACCAGTAAATGTCAAACTTGATGATCAGGGAAAATATATACAAATGACTAATGCATGACACATGCTCCTGGCTTGCATCTGGCTGCATCTCTGCTCATACCATTCTGACATGAATGAGACGCCATCGATGTAATTCTTTCACATATCGCCTTTGTTATCTCGCATCGACCAAAACAGAAGAAACAAACGTTGGACAGTAGGTGCTGCTGTTGATTGCTGTTGCTGTTGCTGATACTGTGTTGTTATTAAATCTTAAATTTCTAGTAACTTTTGCCAAAAATGTCATCTTTGTGAATAAAACTGTAGCAATACGCATGCATGTTCACAGATTGCAAGACGTCGATTTTATAACTTCACGTATACTGATTGTTTC